CCACTGCTGCCAGCCCCAGCCCCGATTCCTGGGCACCCCAGCTGGTCCGCCCCACATCCACATCCACCTCACCCACCCACTCAAGTGTGGGGAGTGGATCATGGCTCTGTCCCAGGCCCTGGTCCTGCACTGTCACTGCCCAGCTGCCAGTCCTGCTCCCGGATGCTGCTCCCTGCTTGCCTGCCTGAGCATGCCCTGCCTGCAGGGATCCTGGGCCAGACTCCATGGAGACTCCACCCACCCACTCCGTCCAGTGTCCCTGGCATTGGGTGCAGGGTGGACGGGTCCAGGGCCGGATTGGATCAATTGCTCCTCCCCCCCAACCCCCCACACTGGGCCAGGTCATTTCTTCCCTGCCCTCCCCACCCCACTCTGCAGCAGCTCAACAAAACTCCTTAAGTGGCCCTCCAGCCCACATAATTGCCCAGCCCTGAATTAGAGAATGCCATGGTGGCTCAGGCTTGCTGGAAGTGCAGGCTCTCAAGACTGGATTGTCCGTATCTTAACACTGCTGTTGCACAGCCTTGTTCCAAGAACAGTGTCTAGACCACTGTGGTCTCTGAGTGCCTCTGTGCGGGTTGGTATCTGTTTGCTCAGGGAGACCTCTTTGATTTGGGAATGCAAGCTTCCATGTCTCCTGAACATTGTGTAAAGACTCCCATAGGGAAACACCTCAGAAACTAACCGCTTGCTGTGACAGGGTCAGAATCGCAAATGGCCAGAGGCTGCTGGCAGCCGGTGATGACAAACCACTGTAGGAATTGATGCCCCTAGGTTGGCGTGGGACTTCACTGTGGCCCCAGAGTATTTGTAACAAGATCCAGGGCATTTGTGGGGACTGCTATTCCAGTGAGGTCTGAATGGCTCCAATACAGGTCTTAAAACCTGTGCTAGAATTGAAAAATGCCTTCTTGAAATTTGTCAAGAAGTAATGATCTGATTTGGGAGCATAAGTTTCCATATCTCCTCAAATGGTACGTAAGAAAGCCCCACAGTGGAAGGGGTAAACCAAGCCCAGGGACAGGTGTGGCAAAAAATAGCAGATGATGGAGCATTGTCTGGTGGGCCACTGGGAAGGCATGGTTTGCAGATGGCTTCTCCCTTTCAAGCTACGTCAGGTGACCCAAGTCACCATCAGATGCTCAGATTCTAATGCAGTCTGGTAAACTAAGGGTGTTTTTCCTTTGTTCTGCCAAGCAGGAAGTGAGAAATGTGAGCAAACAGGTAATGTGCTCCCCCACTGCTGGGGCTGGGGCTGGGACTGTTTTCCAGGCATTTCTGATTTGAATGAGGCAAGAAGTTTTGCGTAAATACCAATGCCACATGTCACATCCTGGGCTGGTCCCAGGTGGTTGCAACAGTACAGGCTGATGTATGCTGCCTCTTCACCTATGAAAGGGGCAAGGCAGGACAACAGAAGATGGTGCTGGAGTCTGAGTGAGATACAGCTCCTCTTTAAGAGCAAACCCATGGGGGTCTGTCAACTCCTTGACTATTAATCTGAGTTCGAAGTATTGATGGGGGAAGCCCCTCACTGCTCTTTTGTCAGTGCTCCAGGTATTGCTAATGCTACAAATGACAAGCTGGGGGATGTTATGGGGTGAAAGAGCTTACAGCTTGATACCTGCTGGGCTCCACAGGCCAGGATGGAGCTTCCTGTTGGAGCCCGATCTGTCTTGACTGTGCTTCTAGGAGACTGGTAGTTCCCCACCACTCAGGGCACCCCTACGTGTGAGAGAAATCATATTTCCTTTGGGACTTGCCAGCGTGGCATGAAGATGGTGCTTGCATAGCTCATTCCATTGATCATTTTCTTTGCCAGAGGTTACAGAGACGTTTCCTTCAAATGGGGGCCTGTGGAGCAGAGGCAGCATGCTGGCTGGGTCTCTGTCTACAATATATTCACAGATTGCCCCTAAAGGTGTGGCTCCAATCAGGTGGGAAGAATTCCAAGCTCAGGAAATGGCCCTAGGAGGGAGCTGAGAAGGGTGTTGAGGTGATGTGTTTCCACCTAGAGAAGAAGAGCGTGGACATCACCAGGAGGGCTGCCTTAACCCTTATTACCTGTAATAAAGTCATATTTTCTGCTTACTGAGCTCTGACCTGTGTCACTATTCCAGGACATCTGCCTGGTGAGCTAACCAGGCCATGAGAAGAACGTGAGGCTACACAATAGCATGTACACATCATCATCACTACCATGCCAGGTCACGGTTGGCTTCTGGTGGCTAGGTTTTCCTCAGTGTTTTTTTTTTAAATGTTTTATTTTTTGTTCAAGTCTTGGTGGTGTACCTGTTCCTAACCAGATCTCTCTTGCTTAATCCTTTTATAAACCCACAAACAACAGCCCCATTGATTCACTTCATGGGCTGGGTGGGAGTTGCTGGGGAGAGCAGAACAAGCTGCTTGCTGGCAGCAACATGGGGGAGAGGCTAGCCTTCAGGTGATGCAAGTTCAGTTCCTGGCTTTATCATGTTCTTGCTGTGCTGTCTTAGGAATATAGCTAGAAACAAAAAAAAAGAGCTCTTCTTTTTTCTTTTTTTTGTGAGTTGTAAAGCAGTGGCAGAGTAACAGAGGGAGATCACAGTCAGCGGGAGCCTCATGTTCAACCTCCATGACTTGGCTCTCTCCCCAGCTGCACTGGGCTTGTTGTGGTGCTTCTTAGCATTCATATCCACCTTATTGCACACAGAAAAATGAAGATGCTACAACATTTTTACATTTACAGCAGCCCAAAGCACAAATATAAGTGGAGCCCTTGTCATGGCACCCCAGTGACGTAGCTCCTGACAGGGTAAGTGAGGTGAAATACAGTTAAGTGGCTTACCAAAGGCCACCCAGCAAGGCTGTGTCCAAGTTGGGAAAGGGCCTGAGAAGTGCTGACTCCTGGAAAATGCTCCCTTTTTGTACACACAGAAGACAGCAAGTCAGAGACAGTGGTTTACAATTTGAGAGCCCAGCCCTGGAAGCCCTTTCTTCTGGGAGTCATTTTCTGATCTTGGTGGAGGAATTCATTTCAGCCAAGGAATTCAGGATCAAGCCACATGCTGCCCTGCACGTTGACATTTTAACTGACTGAACTCACCTATATATCTCAGAGCTAGAGGGAAGTGAAATTATCTCACACAACCCTTTTCAGTTAATAAAGCAGTTGGAGGCACTGAAATGTTTTTTGAAAACATAATCAGAAAATCAGGGTTGGAAGGGACCTCTAGAGGTCATTTAGTTCAACTCCCTGCTCAAAGCAGGACCACCCCCAACTAGATCATCCCAGCCAAAGCTTTGTCTAGCCAGGTCTTAAAAACCTCCAAGGATGGAGCTTTCCACCACCTCTCTGGGTAAGCTGTTCTAGTGCTTTACTACCCTCCTAGTGAGAAAATTCTTCCTAATATCTAACCTAAACTTCCCTTGCTGCAACTTGAGACCGTTGCTCCTTCTTCTGTCATCTGCCACCACTGAGAACAGTCTAGCTCCAACCTCTTTCGAATCTCCCTTGAGGTAGCTGAAGGCTGCTATTAAATCCCCTCTCAGTCTTCTCTTCTCTAGACTAAATAAGCCCAGTTCCCTCAGTCTTTCCTTATAAGTCATGTGCCCCAGCCCCCTCACCATTTTTGTTGCCCTTGGCTGGACTCTCTCCAGTATGTCCACATCCTTTCTGTAGTGGGGGGTCCAAAACTGAACAGAGTACTCCAGATGTGGCCTCTCCAGTGCTGAATAGAGGGGAATAATCACTTCCCTTGTCCTGCTGGCAACACTCCTACCAATGCAGCCAAGTATGCAGTTAACCTTCTTGGCAACTAGTGCGCACTGCTGGCTCATATTTAACTTATTGTCCACTGTAACCTCCAGGTCCTTTTCTGCAGAGCTGCTGCCCAGCCAGTCAGCCCCGAGCCTGTACTGATGCATGGGATTGTTCTGTCCTAATTGCAGGACTTTGCACTTGTCCTTGTTGAACCTCATGAGATTTCTCTTGGGCCAATCCTCCCTATAACGTGTGTCAGTTATACCAGATTGCTCATGGAAGAAAAAAATCTAAACAGGTTTTTTTTTTTTAATAGGATGAAAACATTTCAAATCTTTTGCTTTGAAGCAAGCTTTCATTTTGAAATTTCCTTTAATTTAATTAAAACCACTTTTAAAGACTGGGGTTTTAAAAGCTGTGTAGCTCAGTTGGTAGGCTGACTGGCTATTGTCTGGCTCTGGAAGGACCTGGGCTTGATCCCAGATGAGGGCAGTGTGTGTCTACTTATTCTAACTTCCAGCCTGGCACTGAGGCCCTCCTATCCAATGGGTACCTGGAGCTGCCTGGGGTAAAAATGGCTGGAGCATGGTGCTGACCGGGTCACCTCCTTCTCATGCTGAGATTAAAGAAATGGTATAGCTCTGCCTCAATGGCCTGCAAAAAGGAACTTTGACTTTAAAGACCATTTAAAAATGCCAAAACTGAAATGGAAGGTAAGTCTTAGCCTTGTCAGTGACCCACTGAGTCCGTAAGTCTGGGCCCCAGCAGTTGTCAGGAACCATATAATTTTGTCAAAGTGAAATATTTTGTTTGACCTGGGACAGTTTTATTAATCTCTGCATTTTATGAGCATTTGCATTTTCAGTACAACCTGACTTTTCAAAATCATCAGCAAAATCTATCAGTCACCCCCCTCTACCCAGAACTGCATTGCTTCCCTTACCAGGAAACAGTACAGGGGCATGTCATGACAGATTATATTCCACCCATCTAAATTTACTTAAGTACCTAAATGAAATTCTATTCCACCCTGTTCAAGTCTCTGAAAAAAAGTTAGTACAAAATGTGGAGAGGTCCTCTTTCTTTTCACTGCTTTTTTATGAGCCAGTTGTAAGTGTAAGTGTGTTACAAATGTACATGCATTAATGGATTTCAGAGGCTTGACCAGGGTGAAACAGAATCATACTTAGGCACCTAAGTCCATTTAGATGCCCAGTAGGTGGAATAGCATCTTGTTCATCCTGTCAGCAAGCTTTTGTGTTATCTAGCTACCTCCCAGGGTGCACCCTAGCACAATGGCTCTGTGAAGACTACAGATCTCTTCTCAAAGTGCCCCCTTGCCATGTGCTTCCAGCCATTTGGGGATGGGCAGGGGACATATAGTACTGTGCTGAGCACATTAGCAGCATGGCCTGGTGGGAGAACAATAACCAAACTTTTGAAAGTCTCCAGTCCCCTTGTTCTTTCTTGTAAATCCTTAGAAGGAGGTTCTTCCTCAAGGGGTTGTTGCAGGCCAAACATATTCTTGTCTTTTTTAAATAAAACTTTTTGTTTAGTGCTGTTGTATACATGAACAGCACATGGTAGAGACCCTCTGGGTGACAATCAGTTGCAGATACAGGTGATTCTTTGCCTTTCCCATCTCTGTCAACAGCTACTGTATGGATTGCATAAGAAATAGGAAAATCTACATGGTTCATCGTTATCCTCTCCCAGAACAATGTCAAAACTTTGAAAACATATTTTACATTAGAATCTCTTCTTTTGCTGATGCCTCTTCCCAAATAAATGGTTTTGAGGCTGAGCTCCCTTCTGGCAGATCCCCACAGACTCAGCCTATCTTTTGAGATCATATCCTGACACAATACAATGCCAGAGACAAGACGTGATAATTCTGTTCTCTCCCCCTTTTGTTTTTTTCTTGTAGATCTTTGGAGGTCTTGTCTGGATTCTGGTGGCCTCAACAAGAGTGGCTTTACCAATATTACAAGGCTGGGTTATGTTTGTCTCGGTGTTTTGCTTTGTAATCACCACACTCCTGTTGTTCTCATATATCATAGGAGCTCATGGTGGCAAAACTTCATGGATCACACTGGTAAGCTTATTTTGTTTGGGTTTTCTTTATTTATAGAGTATTCGATGCAATATAGCCCTGCAACCACCTAGGCACATGCTTAAACCCTTGGGACTGGTCAAGGCCAGGTCTGAGTATAGCTGGGATGGGGTCTACTGACTCTTTCTGTGTCCTTGCAGGCTTACCAAAAGGTGATGTGAAGTCACCATGCAAAATAAGCATCTTCTGGCCCTGGAAACTCAGCTGTAGAGCAGGCTGCTCCCTGTTCTGATGAAGTATTGCTTCCTCTTAGAGCTAAGCAGTGCAGCATTTTCTGTTCCTTTACTACCCCTTCCTCGAGTACAGAGCTGGTTAGCTATGTTAGTCTGAAGCCAGACAGAAAGTAAGGCAGGATGGCACCTTAGGCATCAGCTGCTAGTCCAGTCCACTTGTAGTATCTGACAAAGTAGGCTGTGACCTACAAAACATCATACCTCTCTGAACCAGTTAGTCTCCAAAGTGCCACTGTGCCCTGCCTTCTTGCACTTTCCTAGGGACACAGTCCACAACAACCTTCCTGCCTTTCTCCCAAAGGGTCCATTCTTTACTGGTAGTTCTCTGCCACATTTGGGAATCACAGTTACTGATGGGAAGTAGAGACACAGGAAAGTAAAAATATTCTTGCAGATTTGGCATGGAAACCCTCAAATTAGGACTAGAACCGGTCAAGGATCTTCTGATAAAACCATTTTTATGTCAAATGCTGAATTTAAATTTTGCTGAATATTTTTAAATCTTTTGCCAAAAACTGAAGTGCAGTTTGGGGTTGATTCACCACTCACCTGCATTTCCCTCTGGGGTTGCATCATCTCAGTGGAGACGGCCTTTTAATAGCTCAGGCCTACTTTCTGATGGTCCCTTGGCAGCCTATGTTTCCCATGGTGCAAGGTGGTGTCCTGTCTGCATAAGGCACATGAAAGACTGGCCCAGGGAGCTTGGCCACTTAGGGAAAATGGGGCTTGAGGTACCTGAGCTACAAGTTCCATGAGACAATGCGACACTACAGGAAAATGCCACTCAGTGTTGAAGTGGTATAATAACAAAGTATTTTGAGGAATATGTTTGTTGGACTGACTCCTATACTGGCTGGCCATCCCTTGCTGCAGACCTAGAACATGGTCAAGTGTCTTATTAGGCCCCTTCCTATGGCTTGAGGTACTTCTAGGGTGAGGCTATGGCCTTCTGTCTGCCTACAGAAACACAGAGAGTTGGGGGCACTTATGTCCTGTCTCCCTGCCCAGCCAGCTGTCCTTGTCCTGAAGACAGGGGCATGTGCTGCAGTTTGGATGAATTCATTACATATGGTACTTTAGTCCCTAGGAGTAAGACTACTGCTTAACTACAAGTCATTCTTAATTCAATCAAGTTTTATATATCTCAGCCTGATAGCTTTAAACATGGTGGCTCAGGGGCAGCAGGCTGCCTAGTTTTGGCAGCCCAGCTTTCACTGTGAGCTGCAAAATTCACCTGCAATGCTGGATAAATGCTCAGGTAGTACATCCCTACTGAGGTCTGTGTTACTACAGCTAGGTGTGAGCTAGCTACTTCGGAGCAACTCTGGGTATGTCTTTGTAAGCTACAGTCACACTTTTGATTACTGTATAGAGAGACCCTGAGTTACAGAGGGCTGACTGAGTTGCATGGGGAGTGCTGAAGCCATACATGGCCTCTCCCCAGGGCAGAGTAGACAGCAAGGAAGAGAGAAACTCACTTGGTATCTCTGAGGATGCTCGTTCCTTCAGGGTGTTGATACAGGGGAGAAAGGAGGAGCCCTTGTCCACCGGCAGTCCTTTGTTTGCCAACAGCTGAACCCACGCCCGCTGGGCATGGAGGCTTACCTTACACAGAGAAGCCCCCTATGCAAGGGGCCTGCTTCAAGATTGTGACCTGCCTCTACAAAATCTTGTTGACGCCCCAAATTGTCTTAGTGCAAGGATATATCTGGAGGGTGGTAATCAGCAGTGTCCTGTGAATTCAGCTTGGTCACTTCTGACTGACTGACTTGGGATGAAGTAGTGACCTGCAACATGGGCCTGGCCTGACAGTAAGTGGACCACAGGCACCAACCACAGATATGTAAGAAATTAAGGATTTCCTTGGGAGAGTCCCCCTGCCTGATAGCCAATCGCTATTTACCGTTCATGTTTCTTCAGTGCCTAGGAGCCCTAATCAGTGGGCTCTGTATGAGCGGACTCTGTACAAACACAGAACAGAGGGACACTTTGGGTCAGATTCTGTTCCAACTATTAGGCATCTAAGTGGATTTAGGCACCTAAGTGCAATTCTGTTCCATGATTTTCAAGCAGTAATATAACTAGGGGTGGGCAAGGGAGGGACCAGTCCCAGGCACATATTTAGAAAGGGAGCCCAAATGGTGGCCCCTGTTGCATGGGTTGCTTCAGCCAGTGTGTGGGGGGCCTTCACTGCCGTAGTAGTCTGAGTTTGCCAAACATAGCCAGTCATGTATCTGTGTTAAAGTCCCTGAAAAGCCATTCATGCATCTGCATTTGTAACATGCTGTCATCCTCTGACCCTTAAGAGTGAGTCACAAAAAAGGCAGTGAGGAGGAGGGGGACCCATCCACTTCTGTATTAACAACTTTTCAGAAACTCAAGCAGGATGAATAGAATCACTCTTATGCAACCTAAACCTGCTTATAAGTGGAACAGAATCTGGCCCTCCCTGACCCAAAGCACTTATATTCTTGATGGGATGAGAATTTCTAGCATAAGTCACATACTCTAGGGTCCAATTTTCTACTTCTGGAATAGGAGTCAGGAGTATAGACATCAGATCCTGCTTCTTTTCTGGCCAAAATGCCAAATTTCCTTTTAATTTTAGGGGAGAATTCCATTTGCACAAACCACACTGGCCTGAGTCTTCACTGGATTCGCTACATGTGTGCTGTATTTGCTTTTATAACATACCTAGGGTTTTATTCTTCACTTCTTTCTGTGTCTTGAATGGTATTCCTGGAAATTACTGTAAATTATTATTATTTTCTAGGATGCTTTCTATCATGGAATTGCTGCTCTCTTTTATCTGAGTGCTGCTGTTTTGCAAGCCTACGCCACACTTCAAATGAAAGTTGTACTTACCCAAAATGATGTCTGGTTTAAAATTTACCAAGAGGACGTTGCTGCAGTGGTAAGTTTATAAAATAGCTTCCAAACCATAACCAGTGTTTTGGTGGCGCAAACAGCATGTATGAGGAGGGGAAGCTGAATGGCTCGAGAAACAGCTTAACACCTACCACTTCCAAAATGGAAATTCTTCACTGTCATGATGAGTGGTGTTGATTGGTTAATTCATCACCATCTGAAATGTATCCAGCCTGAAATTGGGAGTATCTCTTTCCAAAGCAGTAGCCTGTGCTCAACTCACATGCCCAATGTTAAAAACGTATTTCTAAAGAATGATGGTGTTATAGATAAAAATTGTGGACCTTCCTTAATGGCACCTTGGGCTTCATTCCTACTGGCCAGAGCTAGAGATCTGAGGCAGCTTCACTGCTCCCCTGCAAAAGCAGTGGGGAACGTGGTTGCTATCTTAACCAGAGATCATCTCTGGCTTCAGGCACATTGAAAAATCATGACAGCTGGTGGCCTTTTTGAGAAAGGATAGAACTGAGAGGGGGACAATTGGAAATGCCCAGCTATGAAAACATTGAATAATGTGAGGTTAAAAAAATAATTTCAAAAGAGTTGGCAAAACATTTTCAAAAGTATCTCAGTCACTTAAGAACCTAAGTCCTGGTTTCAGAAGTCATATAGGCACTTAGGATCCTGAACTAACTCTATTGCAGGGGCGGGCAATTATATCAGGCGGAGGGCCACTTACTGAGTTTTGGCAAGCCATTGAGGACCGCATGACAGGCAGCCAGGGGCCCATATATATTAATTTTCTAAATTTTTTAGGGGCCCTGCAGGCCGGATAGAATGACCTGGTGGGCCGCATCCAGCCCACGGGCTGCATTTTGCCCACCCCTGCTCTATTGACTTTCAGTGAGATGTAGGGGGCTCCTAAGTTACTTAAGAGCTCTTGAAAAATCTTTCCCCTAGCAACTGTGGAACTAAATAATTGTTTTTGATCTTCACTTACAGTAGTGCTAAAAGGGCAAACAGAAAGAATAATTATATATTATGAAGCATATATTCAATCTAGGAATATAATACCTTTGTAATAATAACCTATAGATTGTGTGGGGTTTTTTTTCATTTTAGGTATTTGCATATTTAGCCACCTTATCATATGTGATCCATGAAGTGTTCTCTCTACTGAGATGGAAATCATCATAAAAGCTCCAGAGCTTCCTGTGAGAAATCCAATTACTTCGCAAATATCAGTTGTTAGATGATTGACCACCTTACAATGGCATTTTTTTGTGTACAGACTGCTATATGTGGCATTATATTTCATACCACAAAAAAAAAAAAAAAGTCTTTTGGAGATACCTATTTTAAGTAAAATAAGATTCTTTGTAGTGTCTTCTCTTTCAGATACCATTTGTTGGTGGGAACTGGGAACCTGCTTTATTTACCTCTATGTTTTCATACTTTTAACTAGACATTTCCTGTCACCCTAGAGCAGGCTCAAAAGTTTGTATATGTTAAAGAGACTCTCCAACTTGAGTAACTTGACTCTCTCCTGGGCCTAAATATGGGAAGATCATCATCCTTCACAGGCCAGTTTCTTTGCCTTCTTCTTGTTCATGTTTTTTCTTGGGAAGTGTTTCATCATGTCTAAGCCATACATGAAAGTATGTAAACTGTGCTCTGTCACTTAGTGCCCTATAGATGAGCAGAGCTCTGCCTGCATCTGTGGGCTCTGCACAAGTGTTGGCACTCACCTGCTGGGATCTACTTGCAGGATCAGAGCCATATTTTGTAGCAGATTTCAGAGGAAGTCAGTGGAAGAAGACAAGTATCTTTCTGCACCTTGGGCAAGATAGACAAGGAAGGCTGTTTCTCTGACTACAGCACATAGGATCATAGGAAAGCAGGACTGGAAGGGACCTTACAATGTCATCTAGTCCAGGCCCCTGCTCAAGACAGGATCATCCCTGACTGAACCACCTTAGTCAAGCATTCTGTAGTGTTTCCCCAAACTGGAGGCATGAGTTGAAAAAGGGCAGATGCCTCAACTGGTAAAATTCACAGCTATGAATAGAACAATTTAGACAGCTTTAGCCATTTTAAAGAGTTAAGTGCAGATGTCCTGATATTGAGGCTAACAGAAGTGAAATTTATTTCAGTGTAAGCAGGAACAGGTACTAACTCCTGAAACTCCAGAATGTAGAGGCCAGCACCTACAGCTAGACAGAGCCCCCATTAGACCTCATAGCTGCATTAGAGCACCCCCAAAAGACAGGCAATTTGTATCTAGGTTCTTCAATATAGAGTCTATTGCTTAGTTATAGGCATCTAATATGACTATTTTGATCTGAATATTTTCTTGTCCAGACAAGCAACAGACCCAGAACAAAGGTGGCTTCCTGTTGCAGAGGTCTGTGGATATAAAAAATACGTTCATTTTAAGAAGATTTTAAAGTGGGGTTTTTTTCAGGCCTTCTCTTCAGCATCTGTTGTGACAAAATATTTCATGCACTCAGTGTAGCTGTTATCTTCACATCATAATGAAAAGCAAAAACAACTTTTCTGCTTCTCTTAGAAGCCGTGTGAAGTTTTCCAACAACTGAGATATATTGTTGGATGAAGAGAGTTGATTTTACATCCCAGGAATTATTGCTGTTGCTTTTAATCAAGTTATGAAACATTATTTAGATATTGTGCTGTATAAACTGTAGGTTAATATTAAAAATATGATTATAACAGTAGAGATAATAAAACATTGTTCTGAACCAATTGTTTGGTTTATTCAATACAATGACTGACAGAGAAAAATTGCATTTGGAGTCTTGCAATAGTCCATTGCTAATAAAAAGTATTCACCATGCATTTTCCAAAATAGGCCTTGCCTCTGACTTCTTGTCATGGCCTGTGCATGGGATTGTACATGCTCGCAGGAGAGACATTGGTCTGTACCGATAGGCTTGGTGTCACACCATGTAGGGAGTGGGATCCACAGCCCTGAGTTCAGTGCCTGGAGCTGGCCCCTTGGAATGAGGCACAGCAACTGGAATGCTGAGCAGCAGCTTCCTAAAGCAGGCCAGCAGGAGATACAGTACAGAGAGGTCTGTCTGAAGCCAGAGGCATCTGCATGGAAACAACTGTGTCAGATCCAGGTTTGTGTGTTGAAGCCTCTGCTGGGGTTAACTGCCTGGGTCATTGCTTTAAAAATACAGCAGTGGGTACTGCTTTTTTCAGAGGTGGCACCCTTCCCTTCTATACAGTACCTCAGTGGTTATGACACTTACCCAGGATTCTGAAACATTGTTTTTTTTGTTTTCCATTTTCCTTATTTGTCTTTAGCATTTTATATTATAATGTGACATGGCCTGAGCAGCAGTGCAGAACATGTTGCCTCTACCTCCAAGTAACCTCTACATGGCATACTAGATATGCCATCATCTATCAGTCAAATGAAATAAAGCTCTATTTTGGATGGGGATCATGAAGCTAGTTTTTTCTTCTGGACTGCTATTTCAACAGACTTCTGAAATGCAGGCACTTATTACAACCCAACTTATTACATATTTTGCTTGATTTTCCCTAACAACAATCTTGTTAACTCAAGGTTTTTCCAGACAAGGTTGTCCTCAGTATATCTACCTGCTGAATCCTCTGTTTTCCTAGAGCAACCACTGTGTAATTGAGTATCAGCTTTCACACCTCCAGTTCTGGCAGGAGTGTGACAACAACACATTTGCCTGGTCTGAATATGTCTCTGGTTATGGAACCTAATGAGTGTAATTAAAAAGCATCAGACACACCAGCATAAGTTCCTGTGTCACTAATGGACTCCCCTGCTTACTCGTCTAATAGTGTGCTCAGCAAATTAGTGTGATGAGGGGAAAGTGCCTGCTGAGCCTTGTGCCCACTCACATGCTATCAAGTCAGAGCTGGTGGAGCGAGTGTGACCAGGACATGGCTTCTGGCTGGTTGGGCAGGGTAGCACAGGTCCATGACAGCCATGACCACTTCCACATGTTTTAGCCTCAGACATTCTTCCTTCCCCTGTTCCCACTCACCTGCTTTACTTTTTGCTTTTTTTACATAGTGGGTGCATCTACACATCATCCTATATCACCGTAGTGACGCGCTATGTCCCTGTAGCAATCGCGTGCGTCTTCATGTCACCAGCAGCTACTTTGCTGTAGTGGCACGCTCCCCCGTTTTAGTGCGCTGCAATGGCAAAGTAGCGGCTAAAAATAACTGTGCGCTTTGCATACAGTGCAGTCCAGGCGATTGCAGTAACAACATCGCTGTAGGGCAAAATGTAGATGCTCCCAGTATGTGTAAATTTAAAGCCAAGAGGGACCAGGAGATCTTCTAGTCAGACCTTTTGCATAACACAGGGCAGGGAGATTCCCCAACTGAGTCAAAACCATAGCTGGAGGGGCCTGAACTTTGGATGCGGGAAGAATTTGCAAATCAGGGCTGTGTTCAGCCTCTGACCTCCCACTCTGAGTTGGGCTGTTGCAAATGCCTGGGTCCCAGCTACTCCAACTTGGTAATCCAGAGCTGGGTGCAGTGGCTCAGTAACATGCTGTCTTGAGTGCCAGTGTTTCCATATCCACCCTTCTGTTTTCCTTAGCTTCAAGTCTGGGAATAAAAAATGTTTTCTTGGAAGAATTCAGTCACTGGCTGGGTCCTCCAAAGAGTTGGAAGAACAGACAGGGATGAATCCCCCACTGCCACCAGGGTGGGAGGCACTGTTCAAAGAATCAGCTCCCAATGTGCCCTCAGGGGTGCAAGATGTAACCAAGCCAGAGCCATCCTGAATAATGTAGCACCCCAGCATTGTGGCTAATGCTGGCACTGTTCTCCCCTCACACTCAGACCATGGCCAAACCTTCTCCTTTTCTTTCCCAGTCACCAGCCCTTCTGTTCCACCTCAGGGTCCTGAAGGATGCTCCTGCCAGAATCACCTCCTGTCCCAATAATTCCCTCCTTTCCAGTTTTCTAGATACTTACCTGGCCTTTCACTGTGCCCAAATGTCTGCTGGCAAGGCCAGAGATCTTCCGTGCCATCGGGTGCTATTGTCACAAGTTCCTCCTCCCTCTGTTTAAGTCCCCCAGTGGTTCTCATGCACTGCTGCCAGCTCATTCTCTGTGGAGTGACTTCCCCTTGATCTTGTCTCCTGGGTTTCCTGTCTCATTGCCCCACTTCCAGCCCCCACCAGAGTACCCTGATCATTTCCTACTTGTGCTCATGTCACTACGACCTGCTTGTGCTTCTTCATACACTAGAGACTGCTCTTTATTCAGGAATCTCCCTCCCTTATTTCTCATCCCTTCTAAAATCTACTGCCATGAGAAGTGGGTTAATATTAAAACCAATGATCCCCTTTACTATCATCCTGAATGTGTGGGCCATGACTGAATGCAGGCCCTGCACCTGGAGCCAGCTTGAGGGGGGAAGAGTCCTGCACCCCTGTGCATTCAGTGGGGCTCAGTTCAGGTACTGGGACTGGCTCATGTGGAACTGCTTTCAAGCCCAGGGGCTGGGTTAGTGAACTCTGGGGCAGAGGCTGTGTCCTCATTTGCCTCTGTGAAGCCCTGTTTTGGACACAGCAAAGTCCTAGTCTGAAAGGGCATTTTTACACCTGCATGCATCACAGCACCAGGCACTTTGAAATGCACCCGGCACTGCGATATGTGCAGCTGTATAAGCAGTGAAATAAGAGGTGCTTTAGGTCAAAAGTGCACCGCTGCCATTTTCTGCATGCTGATGCACATTTTGCCACTTATACAACTGCACGTGGCGCAGTGCAGCTCGCCTCAGCTCGCATGTGGAGCAGACAATTAATGGAGTCTGCTCCAAAGTGGCAGATCTTCAGTGTGTTGCTGGAAAAAAGTATGTGTATAAATGCCCAAAGGTGCTAAGAGCTCTTGTCAGGGGAGTTTTGGAGTCAAAGATGCTGACAGACCTAGGAAAAGCCAGTGGCTAAGCCAAGCATTCTCCTTGCACTCTCCCAAAGTTGCAATCAACCATTTTCATGGAGTAAGGCAGCTTCACACCAGGGTGATGACTGTCCAAGTAGACAGACCAGCACTACTATCCCAGGCCAATTCACAGAAGATTTGCTGGCTGGAAATGCAGGGCCAAGGAGACTTGTTCTCCAAGCCAGAGGCAGAAAAAAAAGACAAAGAACTTTATGGTTACAGACCTTGCCAGAGGCAGATATTAGCCTGGCAGTGCAAGCCAGCTGCTTCCTGCTGCTCCTTTCCATGGTGCCTGGGGAAACAGGAGACCAGCCTGTAGGGCCTTAGCTATTTCTAATGATAAAGTTAACCACAGTACAGTGGATAAAGCCAGCCCACTCTTTTCTTTTGAGCTGTTCTACATCGGTGACTGCAGCCTCAGGGTTCTCCAAGCTGCTGGTGGTCTTGTGGACAGAGGATATTGAGGCATGCTCTTCTAAGTATCTACCTGGTCACAACAGATGCAGATAGACATGCAGCTCCTTGCTCTAACTCATAATTCATGAGGCTTCGCAGAGAGTGCTATGAGTTACAGCGATCTTCCCCCTGATCCAACAGATGTTTGGAGGAATTGAGCTCCACTTTGAAGCTGATCCAGGAGGAGCTGCTTGTCTCCAGCCTCTGGTGCTGTCTGCGGAATGGGGCGGGGGTGGAGGGAGCTCTGGACTGGGGTTTGTCCAGCCTGAGTTGAAGGGTGGTTGCATGGATTGGAGGGGGGCTCCAATCCACATGCTCCCCTTCCAGCTCAGGCTGGGTAAACCCCAGCCTGGAGCTCCCTTCCCCTCCTTTCTTCCTCTCCCTCCCTGCACACAGCAACAGGGGTGGAGCTGAGGTGCATCAGCCCAGCTCTAATCGGCACAGGAACAGACAGAAGTTAATGAAGTTGCTCCACTTTGAAGCACCTTCATCTGAACCTTCATTACATGAGGGTTAATTTATTGTGCAGTCAGGTGCTTTTAAAGTGCTCTGCAGTGATGCATTTCTGTAAGGGCAAGGCTGTGAAGTGCTTTCAAGGGGCTGATCATGCAACAAATGTAACTTCTGTCAGTGCCCAACAGGGAATAATAAGAGAACTCCTCTGTGCATTCCCTTGGCTGCCTGCAGCAGGGGGAAACCAGTACAGACAGGTCTTAGATGGGAACAGTCACAGAGAAAAAGGCCAGGCAATGGCTCATAAACCACTAAAACTGTTGCTCAGTGCAGTGGAGTGGTTAGAACCAGCCAGGAATTAACAAAGTGTAAATGAGCATGGGAAACATCTGATGGGTGGGCAGCTCTCCATTAAATGAGTATCTCCCCACCCCCAGCCACAGTGACCCATGAACTACAACTGACAGGAATAGGTAGGACTAAATACCTGGACACTGGAGCAACTGCATTCAGCCGTGGGCTCTGTCTAAAATGGAACTGCTGGCTTTTAAAGCCTGCACGACACAGTCCCGCCTACCACAAATAATGAAAAATATGTGGAAGAACCACTTACAGTACAGCAAATTCCTTTGTTGAGCATCATTCCCCAGTACCATTGTGTTCACCTGCTAGGAGCTGTGTGTGTTATTGCTCTAGGAATGGCTCTATTTTGAGGTGTGGCAGAAAACTGCCAGTAGTTTTATGGTACAGTTAATATTGTGTGTGTCCAAGAATCACCCTTGTGCAGTAATCTGATAGTCAGAGGAAGAATATTTTTACAAGGAAGAATGAAAGGGGAGGAAGAAAACTGTAAAACTAAATAAACAAAAAATGGTAAAACTAAAGAAATTGCTTTGGTAGTTCTTTCTTTGCCATCATAAGGAGGTAGAAGGCAAAAAGATACTAGATTAACT